AGCGAAGTTGGTGAAAAGTCGATAAGCTGTTTGGCAAATTGCCAGAGACGCAATGTGTTGTCTGCTATTGCTATTGCAGACAACACATTGCGTCTCTGGCAATTTGCCAATTTGCGTCTCTGGCAACTTGGAACACTCCCTGACCGCCGTTCTTCCAATGTGAAACTCGTCCAACCCCCTTTTCCAGCTCTTTTTTGACCTTTGTAATTCTTTTTGTTCATCGTTTTTTGCGCTTTTTTCATTGTTATCGCTTTATTCTAAAGTAGTTCTATGAATTCCCGTCAAAAAAGGGTACCCTAAATTTATCGTAAACGGTGCCTTTAAAGCCACAGCTAGTCCCCGAAGCAAAGGGGGAGTGGTGGAAGCTCGATTTGCAGCGTTGGGATGTTGGGAAATTGAACCTAGCATGGCCCATTTTCCACCCACCAGTTTTTTATTAGGAGCTTACATAGCTTTGCGGAAAAAAGGGGGTCGGTTTTGTTCAAGAAAATATATTCCTTTCGAAGGATTGGTCTAGTGGAAGAAGGTCTAGAGCTGCTGAAGGCTTGTCTTGTTTATGGTTCCCATCTACGGCGACTAATTGTATAGCCAAAAGTGGATGTGGCAACTGTCTCATGGAATGGAGTCCCGGCTTCAAATTCCCGGTTTTGATGCTTCAGAGCTCAATAGCATATGGTTAGGGGCTCAAGTAAAAAGCTGGCAGATGTACGACATCAGCGAACTTGTAAAGCAGAATCCCATACTGAAGAGGTCATATGACGCAATAGAATACATAGGATCATCTCATCATATCTGCTGAGAAACTCCTTTACTATAGGCAAACAACTCGTTGCGTTGAGAGGAGCTTCCAGCCATCTGAATACTGTGGACATTACAAGTGAGGCTATGGAGATCAATACTTCCGTTGAATTCTTACTGGTAACAACTTTACTACTGGCGCTTCAGGACCTGCTACAATGGTCAATGGCTCGATGCCCGTTGCAATCACAACAAACGATTTGTCAACGGTCGCTGCGTTCAAGAGGATTGTGTTCAGCAGAGTTACGGTAAGCTCTGGATCTGGTCATCACCTCCAAACACTGTGAATGTTCACTACAGGAAAAGACCACTATTCGAAGCTGCAATGCCGTAGTGGAGCTCTACAGCCACATTTGACGAATCAGCATTCCTACATGTTCTGCCAGTACGGTATGTGGACGGAACGTAGCTGCCACCGTGATGGAGCAATATTTGATTGGAAGGTTAGATTTTCGATATAGAAAAGACGAAAGCGGAAAAATCACCTCTGAAGTTTGTATTCACTGCCGTATGGAAGTTTATCTGCGGAGTCTCGCCCTCGAGGCTATGTAATGTTCATGCAGGCTGCAATGCCGTAGTGGAGCTCTACAGCCACATTTGACGAATCAGCATTCCTACATGTTCTGCCAGTACGGTATGTGGACGGAACGTAGCTGCCACCGTGATGGAGCAATATTTGATTGGAAGGTTAGATTTTCGATATAGAAAAGACGAAAGCGGAAAAAAACACCTCTGAAGTTTGTATTCAATGCCGTATGGAAGTTTATCTGCGGAGTCTCGCCCTCGGAGCTATGTAATGTTCATGCAGAGAGTGTGGGAATAGGACGACTGAAATGTCCGCGAACATTTTGTGGGTATCAATTGGGCTATTTGTGGACTCCAAGTTTAGGAATGAGCAATAAGAGGATCTTCTTAGCTCACAGCTACCTATCTGATCTTTGTGATGATTTCAAACATTCTATCTTTTTGCGTTTTCGCTAATTTGTAAGCTGCCGTACCCATACAGTCATGTCGTGCCATACCCAATAAATCGATACATATTATTAGCCCAAGTTCGCATGTTGAGCTCATCTTTTTTGAAGCGTTTTATTTACTTGAAAGGCAACGTCTTATCCTTTCGTATTTATTAGGTTCTCGGATGTGTTGTCAGCCAGAGTCAATCAAATCCGTATAAGCCGAAATGCTACGAAGGAATGACGCGCCCTATCACCAATGAATGCTCTGTTTACGAGGTATCCACTTTTTCGATAAAGTTTTTGTTCATTATAAAATACATTTCTTTTTGATCACACGTTAAATACCTAATCGAAAAGTTGAAAAGGAGAGGAGGAGGCGGAGGGGGACGGGGGGGGATTGGTTCAAAGGTAAAGAGGCATGGGACCAGGGAGTGCGCATCAGCAGATCCTGCAAATACGCCTGTTCAAACTTCTTACCTACACTGTTTTCTATTGATCAGCTTTCTCGGTTGCTTGGGAGCACACTCCCTCTATTAACGCTGAATCATCCAGTGGTTATGGTTGTGAGGAGGGGGGGGGGGCAATAAAATAACTGGCTTTCAGGTTTTTCAATTTCCGCTGTAGGTAGGAGGGGTTCTGTTTATAAGAATAGTATTTATCTCCCTGTGACAGGATTGAAAATGATCCTTAGGATGTGGTGTAGCGGCAAGTGGCTCATTGTCACAAACGCATAATCATGGGTTCAAATCCCGGATCGATATCCGCCTAGGTCAACAAAGCTTTCCATCCCGCTTGAGTCGCCTAATTGGAACCGGGAGACTCGTCTGGGAGGGCCAAAGCACTGACTTGTACGTTGGCCGGCCATCGTAAGTAATTGTTTAGGCCACATACACCCTCAATACGCTATACGATTCTGAATGAATATCGAATGCGGAGCGCATCCCTCCAACGGGATTGATCAAGGTTAAAAGACAAAGACTGAGATTTTTATGGTAGAAGTACTATGAGAGAGAGGTTAAGTGTTCGTTCTGTATGGAGATCTTCAATTTCTTTGTGCACCAGAACTTTGTTAGTGAAAATCCTTCCCATTAGACCTGGCGAGGGATGAATTCTCTACGTTTTTTCCGCTTTCACATTCTCTCTTCATTGTAGCAATGCGTACAAGGTCAGTGGGTGAAAAAGGCTTGTTCTTATGGTCAAAAATTCTACAATGGACAATGTATCCCTGGAAATTGTTCGAATTCAGGACTACAATGTCGAGTGGGCTTCATTTTGGATAAACACTGCATAAGCTCACCTAATCTCGAAACCTATTTTAGGAATCCTCCGGTGTAGATGGCTACAGAAGGATGGAAACCGATTGCTCCAAATATTATCAGTGCGTACACGGTAAGAGTATAACTGAACTTCTTCAAAGTTTATCTTCATACCTTGCTTACGAAATGTTTCTTTGAGGTAAATGGATGGAGCGGCCATGTGGCGTGGGGACTGTGTGGAACGA